GGAAGAACTTCAGAAAATAAGAAATGAAGACAAGAATGGGTAGTTGTAGGTGCTTTTTTACTATATTTGAAAACATTTCCATTTGAAATAATTTGATAATTTCTGCAAAATAAGTGCACAATTTGCTTGATTGCAAGAGGCTATATTTTTTGCTTTGGAAAAGGATGCAAAGTTTTGTTTGAATTTCTAGCAGTGCCTGCATCAGAATTTTAAAATATCCTTTTTCGTTCACAGAATCCTTTATCTTTTCCAGGGTTTATTTACATTTATTCTTTTTGATTCATGCTGCTTTAGAACTACTATTAATATAATCTGGGTCCACAATATTTTTTCACAGAAACAAAGTAGCAAAATTGTATAATCAAACACATCAGGACATTTTATGTTTCTTACACAGGAAAATTACATATAGACTTCTTTTATTAAAACTATTGACTTATACTGTATTAGTGAACTGCATGCAGGAAGATGCTATTACCCTAACTGATGCTAAACAACATTATTAATGCGCCAAAATAATAAAGATTACATTTTTTATTGTATTTCCTTGTCTATTTTTATTAACTAAAATTAATATAAGATCAATGTTATTATGCTATAGTGCATAAGGATCTGATCCTGCATACCATTACAACCAGGTATTGTGCTTACTATCAGTCAAAAATCTATTGCTGTCACTGGGCTGTACCCCTTAAGTAGTACTGCCACTGATAATGTTCACAATCTTTTAATAAAATAGAGTAACAAAAATACAAAAGGGATATAATATTTGGTGGGAGGAAACAGCTCTAATGTGAATAGGAATGTGATTAAGATTATAATGACAAAGTTATTTTTACATAATATTCCATCTCTTTTATAACTTAGCAGCTATTTTTTTTTCCTTTCAAAGGGCCTGTTCCTGGCACCCTTTTTCTAGCTGAGTAGCTCCAGAAATCAATGGGGTTACTTACATATGGACAAAACATTCTCCCACTGCTGTGGGTATCTGCCTGGGTGGGAGAGCAGCCTCCCTGGGGTTGCCACATCCCCATCCTGTACATGTTGGTGGAGAATGGGCTCAGCCTTGGCTTGATCTCACAAATGCATCAGCAAGCCCAACTGTACCACTACCATGTACCAGGTATAGACCTGTCTTAGTGTACTTCACTATCGGCCTGAACAAGAAGGGATCAATTGCATTTAATAATATGTTGGCAAAGAAGATTCTTATAGCACTCCACATGAGAGCCCTCGGGGCAGAAGTGTGATTGCCCAACAATAACCTCTGGGGTATCTTGGCAAGAAAGGAGTGATGCCCCTGAAGTGTAACCTAATCCACTATTTCTATGGATGTTGCAGCCACCTTTCATGAGCCACAGTATTGAAGACACCTGATAGATCTGATAATCTTCGCAAGGTCACCTGATCTTCATCTTTCACCAGAAGATCATCCACCAGCTTGACAAGGGCAGTCCCTATGCCAAATGCAGGTCAGAATTCCTATTGATGAGGGTCAAGAAAGCTGGAAGCGTCCGGCTACTCTGAGTTTTCTCACCATAACGTTCCATAATCCTGACCAAAAGTGGAAAATTAGCTACTGATTGATAGTTGCATAGACTATCACCATCAAGAGAAGCATTTATGAGCAAAAGCCAAGGACATGCTTCCTTTAAACTAAAGTAAAAGCAATTGAGAGCTAGCCATCCCTAAAGGGGATAATGACAATATCCACCAGTAAAGGACCTAGTACTTCCTTTCTAGCCTTTATCCAAGGGGAATGACAAAGATCCAATGCACAGATTGTGACAAGTTTTTCTTCTAAAACAGCCAGAACCTTCATAAATGATACCATCTGGAACTAAAGCAGAGATTACCTAGCATTTATTCATTCCACATAGTGCCCTGCCTCCAGGGCCAGCTCATTTCTAATCTGATTAATTGTATCTTATTTTAAGGTATAACACAACCCAATGGCTGGAAGTTGAAGCTGGGCAAAGTGAAACTGGAAATAACGTTCACGTTTTTGACAGTGAGGATAATTAACCATTGAACAATTTACGAAGGGTCGTGGTGGATTCTCCATCACTGACAGTTTTTGAAATCAAGATTGGATGTTTTTCTAAAAGCATGCTCTAGGAATTATTTTGGGGAAGTTCTACAGTCTGTGGTATACAGGAGGTCAGACTAGATGATCACAATGGTCCCTTATGGCCTTGGAATCTATTACTTTGTGAATCAGAAATTTCCTCACAACATAATCATCAACTAAATGGAGATTGTCTCAATTAGCTAGGCTGTTCACCATCCAGAACAAATCTGTTGCTTGACATTCTGGAGATACCACAGTCCCAGAGCATAAGAATTCAAAAATATCTTTATAATTCATAGTTTTTAAGATCAGATAGGACCATTATGATAATCTAGTCTGACTTCCTGCATTACACAGGAATGTCACCTAATAATTCCTGCTATCATGGCCATAACTTCTTATTTAGCTACAATATATATTTTTAAAAAGACATCCATTCTTGATTTTAAAAATTCAGTGGAGAAACAGATTGTTCCAATGGTTAATAAATGTCACTATTAAAAATTTGTGCACTATTTTTAGTTTGAATTTGATGCAATCAGCCTCTTCAAAAACTTCAGCCACCTGTGCTGTATTTAGTCTCCCAATTTCTTCATCTGTCACAGGTCACCTGTAAACCACAGTGACCTATGGGGACAAAACTGGGGAGAAAGAGGTCTAGAAACCACTCTCTCAATAGTTGATGACAAAAGATGATAAAATCATACTACACCTATTATTTTCCCTCAGATCCCTCTGGAAACATTCCAATTGTATTAACCTCTGGGGTCAGATCATCAAAATGGATTTCTCACCCCGGTGGTAGAGATGATCCAGATTGTAGCCAACCATGCAACTTGAATATGCAACCCCCTGGAATAATAATTCCTATTTGTGGTCATGAAATTCTGACCCAACACAGAAAATTTATCATTTACATAAGTGGTTCCAAACATTTTCCATTTGCAATCCAAAAACCAGCTGTTGTCTCTTACCATTTACTCACCCATCCTACAATCCTCTCCTCTTGGACTGGGTGAGATGCAGGAAGAAACCAAAGGGTTGTGAGTTAGGTGAACTGCAGCAAAAAAAACATTGTCTGATTTTGTGTATTTGGGCTTGTGAATGCTGGTAGGATTTTTCCTGGTGTGCTTGGCTTCTTTGTGTAGCTTTCAGAGATGCTAGGTACTGGTTGTGGGGCTAGCAGACTTGCTGTATGAAGGAGCCTCCCAACTTACTGAGTGGAAAGCTGAGCAGGAAGTGTTGAGACACTTCCTCTGGATTGGGTGGGAAGCTGACTTCAAGTGACCATGGGATTTTGCTGCTTTTTATTCCATCGGAGTATGACTCAGTGATCAACCCCTTGTGACCAGCTTGCTAGTCATACCAGGTAGTTGGGAAGTCCTGATCTATGTGGATTTTAGCCACTGAACATTATCACGCTCAGTGCCCCAGAATACAGCAATGATGAACTTCATGAGATCACCCATCAACATCACAATACAATGGCGCAGTCTCCAATCCAGCACTTGTTCAATCCTAACTTCATCCTGGGACTCACATACTAGTGGTCTCACAATATTTGGGGCAGGAGACCTGAGCATATTTCAGTTTACAAAGGAGACTGGCAACAATTCTGGATATCTGACGTGCCCCTCCTCTGAAGCAAAATCAGACCAAATCAGCCAGAGGGGCAGTTCACTTCTGCCAACTTTGGAAGATGTGTCTTTCATAACCTCTAGGTATATTTATGCAAAACCACTTAAATTAACTAGTAACTAATCTGGCAAGTGTCAGCTAGCAAGACCTCAGAAAACCTAACACAAATCCCCAAAGCCTTGGTCTGAGCACCTCCTCAGACAAAAACCTGTGAAAATACAAGATCATTGCAGTGTGAACAGTGTGAAAGATCATTAAGCTCAGGATTTGTCAGACCCAGGAGATGGAGAAAGTTTCAGAGAAAAGGACCTTTCACTAAAAATGTCTGCTCCCCCATTGCATAAATGTGAGGGCACCAGAGCTGATCTCAGTTGAGCTAAACTGACCACTTGAGGCAAAGCTAGTGCAGAATATGAAATACAGGTGTAATAAGTTCCACTGGAGACATGCCAAACAAACAGGAATAGTAGAAAGAGTTTGAGTTTGTTGGGCTCTAAAAATTTCACATTTTCTCTAAATTTACTCAGACGTCCATTAATTTATCTGATAATGGAATGGAAAAATCAGAAAAGTGGCAGTGAGCAATTTTGTTTTGCTTTGCTGAAACAGTCCTTTACCAAAAGTCTTTATTCCAGAAAGAGCTACATAATTCATCTGTATTACTTCAAATGGATAGCCTAAGGCTACAGTTCTAATTAGATAGTCAAGCAATCCTCTGAAGCAAAACCAGCTAGAGGCTGGTATTTGGTATTTTAGCACCAGTTGGTATACATGAACCTGTCCTGCTTAAGAAATGTGTGATCATTCTGTCATATCTTTTAGTTGGAAATCAACTTCTACCCTCCATCTCCTTGACAAACGGAGACCCGCTCTCTGCCCGAGGTCCCCACTAGGACAAATCAAAATGCCTGGCTTGCGCCCTACTGGGATCTCTTCCCACTGCCTGCCCTTGGCACCAGGACCCCAGGGCTCAATGTTCTGCACTGGCCGCTTCGTTCTCCAGGCCGAGTTCCGCCTGCCCACCGGTCCCCTGGACCCCTCTGAGGAGCGGTGGGCACAGGCTGGGGCTCTCTCTGCTCAGCGTCCCCCTCTGGATCCCCCATTGTAACTGTCTCCCGTGCCGTGCCCCTCCTGCCTCCCCGTTTGCCCCCCTCACCTAGAACAATCACCCTCCGCCTTTCTCCAGCTTCGCCCCTCCGCCCCTACTCAACTGCCCAACCAACGGACGCCATTTTCCGGACTCCGCCCCTCTTCAACTATCCAATCGAGGCGGCTTTTTTCCCCTGGCTCCGCCCCTCCTCGTTGCGAAACAACCAATGCTGCTCCACGTCGCTCCGGCTACCGCTCTGGTAGTTGCGGGTTGCGGCCGGTGGCTATGGAGTCGTTGGCGCAGCGGGTCAGTAATGGCGGCCTTAGTGCTGCCGTCGTCCCCTCCCTCCCTTGCGCGCTCGGCCGCGGCGCCCCCCCCCCGTGGGCTCCCGGCTGCTTGCTCGCCCCCAGACCGCGGCGGCTGCCTCGCTCTCTCCGCGGCCAACGGCCCTGCTCTCAGCGCCCGGGCCGGGGCCTTCCTAGGAGGGTGGGCTGCTGGGGATAAGCGCTGCTCGGCGGGAGGGGGCTCGGCTGTGCGCCGCCGGGAAGGCGCAGGGGCGCTACGGAGCCGGCACGGTTGCGGCAGCAGCTACAGCGTTTGGTGTAGGCGGGGGCAGGTGGGAGCCTGCCGGGGCGCAGGGGGGCCGCGGGCAAGTGGCTGAAGGCGGTGGTCGCTCTCCGTTCTGGACCGGTTCCTTGTGTGCCACAGTGACGCTTCCCTTTCAGGCTCTGGTCAGCTACTATTGCCAGGAAGGGTACTTCCATCACGTCCAGGTGGCCGCTAATGATGGTCTTAAGAAGTTTGGCAACGACCCCGTGTTCCTGTTCTACCGCGCCTATGGCATGATGATGGAAGGTGACTGACTGCTTGTCGCTGGGTCTGTGGTGAAAGTTGAACGAGAAGCCGTCAGCTTCAAATCCAGGCCGCTTCACTAACCCTTCCCCTGAGACCTGCCACCAGCACTTGCGGTTTTACAACACTCTATTAAACCTTTTTTAAAAAAGCGTTATTATTAATGACTTGAATTTTAGAAGCGCCTGGAGAGACCCCGGTTGAAATCAGGGTTCCTGTGGGCTGCGAATGTAACCGATAGTCATTGCTCCCAAGAGTGCACGTGCTAAATAGATAAGACCAACAAAGGGTGGGAGGTGAAACAGGTATAAAAAAGTAACTTGTTTTAAAGCTTTCTTGTTGGAGCTTGTTTTCTTTATTTAGCTAATCAGTCCAAATTGTGATAAATTAGAATAATTTTTATGTACTTTGAGTTGTGTTTTATAGGGCTTTGTTTAGACTTAGTATTACTAGACCTACTTATTGAGTAGGTTTTGGAAAATGGAACTTAAAAAAAAAACAAACCAAAACAGTTGGAAGCACTCTCCTGTTGCAGATATAGGAAATGCCTGGAAAAGGAAACCAGTGCCCAAAGTGCAGTTAAAAGCACAATATAAAATGAATAGAGCAGGGGTGGGCAAAGTTTTTGGCCCAAGGGCCACACCTGGTTGGAGAAATTGTATGCATGACCGTGAATGTAGGGCTGGGGTAGGGTTGCGGGAAGGGGTGTGGTGTGTAGGAGGGGGTGGGGTGTGCAGGAAGGGGCTCAAGGCAGGGAATTGGAGTGTGGGGTGCAGGAGGGGTGGGGGCTCTGGCCTGGCGCTGCTTACCTTGTGCGGCTCTGGGGTGGCAGCAGTGCTAAGGAAGACTCCCTGCCTGCCCTGACCCCGCGCCGCTCCCAGAAGTGGCCAGCATGTTCAGTAGTGGCTCCTGTGGGTGGGTGGGGTGGGACAGGAGGCTCTGCTGTGTGCTGTCCTTGCCTGTGGGTACCACCCCCGAAGCTCCCTTTGGCCGTGGTTTCCCGTTCCTGCCCAATGGGAGCTGCGGGTGGTGGTGCCTGAAGGCAAGGGCAGTGCACAGAGCCCTCTGCCGCACCCTGGTGCTGCAGGGATGTGGTGCTGGCTGCTTCTGGGAGTGGCACGGGGCCAGAGCAGGTAGGGAGCCTGCCTTAGCCTTGCTGCACCACGGGGCTGGCAATCCTGCGGGTCGGATTGAAAGCCCTGACGGGCCGGATCCAGCCCTTGGGGTGTAGTTTCCCTGGAATAGAGGGTGGTTTTCACCTTTGGTGACTGGTGGAAATAAAACAAGACCACTTCCAGGTTCTCTCAGTATTAGCATGCTTTTCTTTCTCCTGTTACTGTATGGCAGATACTGGCCTACACTACACTAGTGTAGTGGCCTACATTAGGATATTAGATCAGTATAACTACATCGGTTGGTGGTATGAAAAATCCACAACCCTGAGTGATGCAGTTAAACCAATCTAACCCCCAGTGTAGACAGGATAGAGAATTCTCTTGTCAACCTAGCTACTGCCTCTTGGGGAGGTGGAGTACCTATGCCAAGGGAAGAACCTCTCCTGTCATATAGGTAATGTCTTCACTGAAGTGCTACAGCAGAGCAGCTGTCTTGTTGCAGCATTTTAAGTGTAGACAAGCCCTTACACAAACAAGTGAAAATGATTGTGAATAGAGAGGTTAGCTATACACAAAATAAATAAATTGAAAAAACAATTTCTTCAATTATTATTCAGCTAATTATGTCAATAGTAGGGCTGTCGATTAATCACAGTTAACTCATGCGATTAACTCAAAATTAATTGCACTGTTAAACAATAGAATAGGAGTGAAATGTATTCAATATTTTTGGATGTCTTTCTACATTTTCAAATATATCTATTTCAATTACAACACAGAATACAAAGTGTACAGTGCTCACTTTAATTATTTTTTATTACAAATATTCACATTGTAAAAATGAAAGACACAAGACATAGTATTTTTCAGTTCATCTCATACAAGTACTGTGGTGCAATCTATTTGTTATGAAAGTGCAACTTACAAATGTAGGGTTTTTTGTTACATAACTGCACTCAAAAACAAAACAGTGTAAAACTGGAGAGCCGACAAGTCCACTCACTCCTACTTCTTGTTCAGCCAAACGTAAGAGAAACATTGAAGGGACATATGAATCTTTAAGGCATCTGCCATGTAAATATCTTGTGATGCTGGCTACAACAGTGCCATGCAAACACCTGTTCTCACTTTCAGATGACATAAACAAGAAGCAGACAGCATTATGTTCTGCAAATGTAAACAAACTTGTTTGTCTGAGCGATTGGTTGAACAAGAAGTAGGACTGAATGGACTTGTAGGCCTTAAAGTTTTACATTGTTTTATCTTTAAATACAGGGTTTTTCTATTCCTAATTCTACATTTGTAAGGTCAACTTTCATGACAAAGAGATTGCATTACAGTACTTGTTTTAGGTGAATTGAAAAATATTATTTCTTTTGGTTTTTTTACAATCCAAATATTTGTAATAAAAAAAAAATAAAGTGAGCACTGTACACTTTGTATTCTGAGTTGTAATTGAAATCAGTATATCCAAATATATTTAAATGGTATTGTATTATTGTTTAACAGTGCGATTAATCATGATTACTATTTTTTTAATCGCTTGACAGCCCTAATAGTGAATATACTGGACAGTGTTAATATATAAAATGTTAATCTTAATGGTGGCAGGTAAAACACTTTCAGGGAAGCATGGTGGGTTTTTTTGTTTTTTTTTTTAAAGATAATTGTATCCCTTTATCTCTTCTTGTATTCTTTAGGTCATGTTCAGGAGGCTATTCGGGAACTTGAGTCTATTAAAAACAAACAGGAGGTGTCCCTTTGCACAATGATGGCACTGATCTATGCCCATAAAAAGAGCTCTAATCCAGGTATCTTAACAGAAAATACTGTTGTCTTTCTGTGTTTTACATAGTCTTATAATATTTGCAGTTAATAAAACAGCTGGCAATCTAACCTGCAAAATATAGTCGAATCTCAGTTAAACCAAAATGCATGCTTTAGCCCTACACATAACTCTAAATTTAATATTATACCTAGATGAAGTTTGACAAAACTATATACAACAATCTCCATTACATAACAAATAAGGGTGTATTTGCAGACAAAATATTGAAAAGTTACAGAGCTATGTTTCTTGACATATTAAAAATCTCTCTTCTCCGTAAGCAATGGCCATCTGCTGTAGACCTCCACTCTCCTGGCTGCCTCTGTCCTCTGTCTGTTTTTGATCTCCTGATCTTCTTCTACGTCCAAAAGGCCAGTCAGAAAATATTTTTCCTTATCAGAGATATGCATTTCTTATTTCCCTGTGTAGCCTCGCTTACCTTATAATTTCTACTGCCAACTTCAATTCCATTTAGGAACACTTCATTGTCCCTGCCCTATCCATTGGACTGTGAACTGAGATGAGATGACCTGACCAATGAGTATTTGTGTACATGAAGTATGAAGGATAGAGTGCCATTGAAGTAATGGGACTGAAAACTCCTTATTACTTGATACTCCTATTCAGGTTCTCCCACCTTATTAAAAAACTTATTTCTGGAGTTTATGCTACATGAAAACAATCCTGCTATGCTTTTCATTTTCCGAGAGGGTATAGTGTCTTGAAAAACTTGAAAGTTTAAAAGCAGTGGTGACTTGGAAAATCTAGGAGAGAATCTGCAGGGTTTTGGACAGAGCAGGTGCTAGGAAGACTAACAACAACAAAAAAAGTTGTAATATGATACTCAAAATCAGGTCTTGAAAAATTCATTTGCCCTGTCACCTGACAAGCTTTGTATTCTATATGGGTTTTTATACAACACTCATCACCAGAGTGTCTGAGCTCATTCTAGTAGTGCATTAAGCAATGTGGGGGTCTACGCATCTGTCTCATCATCTTCTCAAAGGGAGAAACATATGTAGTGATGTGTCTTGTTTTGATAGGGTATTTTTATTTATTAAATAAAATCTATTGCAATGTGTTTTTCTTGGAGAAGGCAAGGTCAAAAATATTGCACTGGAAAGTGGTGAGGTTTGTGATTATCCTGGGGGACTTCATTCCACAGTCTCCGACCATCCCCAAAGAAAGTTTTTTTTATCTCCTGCATAGATTTTACTCTTTCATTGTTGAGAATTCCATTGTGCCAGAGGAGAGACGTTGCTGAGCACGGTCTTTGTTCCAGAGTTTTAGGTGGTCTTTTAGGTATCCTGGGCCCAGGCAAGGTTGCATGTGGAAGGTAAGGACTGAGACTTTGAACTTTATTTGAAATTCTGTGGGAAGCCAGCCTAGAGTGTGGAGGAGAGGTGTAGTGTGTTCATGGTAGCCTTTGTTGCTTAGGAGATGCACTACAGCATTCTGAAATACTTGGAATTTTCTGGGTTCTGAAGGTTTTATGCCCAGCTAGTTTGTATGTTGCCTTGCTATAGTCCAGGCAAGAGCTGACAAAGGCATGAATAACTGAGGCTATGGCTTTGTTGACCAGGATAGGGTGAAGTCTACTAGCCTGTTGGAGATAGTAGAAAACATTACTCACAGTCATTGTGATGTGAGCTAAACACCAGCAAGGAATTCAAGAGTATTCCTAGACTATGGACTGATTTGACCAGTGGTGGGTGTGAACTGTCAGCTAAAGGAAATCGCACTGTGGCTGCAAATTGTTCAGAATGCTTTCCCCTGTCACCTGTTTTCGTCAGCTTCAGCCAGCTGCTCTTTATCCAGGAGCTGATCTCGTCCAAGCTCTATACCGTCTTGGTGCTAGCAGTGTGTTAGTATTGGGTGCAGGACTGCTGACCCCAAATGTCTACTCAGCTTTGTTTAGCATCATAACGTGAGCCCTGCAAGCCTGGGCTTTGAGACTCACTGGTGTGGGATCCTGCTTGCTTTGTAGACATACCCTAAGTGATTTACCACCCTGGATGGCTCCTTGGGGCAGGATTTGTCCACCTCAATGGAGGCTAATAGGAAGGTTCTCTTTGTCTGTAATGCAGCCTTATCATAGGCTTAGAGGAATTGGCCATGTTTCATCCTGCTTGAATTGGCCGTTGTCATCTGCCATTGGTCTTTGAGTTTCCACCACTCTCTTCATCTGGTGCAGGGTGTTAGAAAGCCGTGGGCATTGGGGAGCAGGGCCCATGTGTGAGCACGAAATGCTTTTCACCGAAGCATTGTCTCTACCCTAGTCTTTTGTATCTAATGTAGCACCTCTACCCTAGTCTTTTGTATCTACCTCTGGAAAACCTGTTTTAGAGCTCCAGCTAGTGGGGGAATACCAGAGTGTTTGGCAATGTGCTTTGCCTTGGGGATGCCACATTTATGCGGCATCTGCTCTTATTGTACAATGACCTTGATAAGATATGATCAAAATTTTAAAAAAGAATTCCCACTGTTACTATTTTCAGATCGAGACGCTATTTTGGAACTGGATGCTAAAATGAAGGAACAACGTAAGACTGCAGGACATCAGGCCTTGTACTTTGCAGGGTTGTTTTTGTGGCATCTTGGTCGTCAGGACAAAGCCCGTGAATACGTTGATAGAATGATCAAAGTTTCTAATGGTAATAAAGAGGTAACTAGTCTTCTATATATGAAATATAAGTATAGCTGTCTGTTTATAAAACTAGATGTACTAGCTCTCTTCTACATTGTCATCCTTTAATGTAACTGCTGTATGCTATAATATTTCATTTAATGCTTCAAAAGCATTTTTGGGTGGCTGGTACTACTCACAATTTGTGAATAGTAAGTTGTTAAATCTCTTTGATCCAGTAACTGAAAAGCAAGGTCTGCTGTGGCCAACAGAAGTATTTAATTAAGTAAATACGTTTATCTTCAGGCAAAATAAATCTAAATGGCTGTGTATAATTGAGGCTTCTGGTTCTTGATTTAAATGTTTACTGGAAAATGCCACCTGCCTTCCATTAATGTTGGGACTTTCCAGAAAATATTTATTCAAGCTGAGAACATTTTTTTCAATTTATGTAGTTTGATAGTCAGCAAAATATAATTGCTAGTAAGAAATTGAGCTATGGTATGGAGTAACTCTATGACTTAGAGTTAGATATGACTCTAACTACAGAGGGTGATATATTTATTTAAAAAAAGAAGAGCAAGCTCAAAACCTCTAGAGCAGGGGTCGGCAACCTTTTAGAAGTGGTGTGCCGAGTCTTCATTTATTCACTTAAATTTAAGGTTTTGCGTGCCAATAATAGATTTTAAAGTTTTTTAGAAGGTCTCTCTCTAGAAGTCTATATATTATATAACTAAACTATTGTCATTTGTAAACAGGGTTTTCAAAATGTTTAAGAAGCTTCATTTAAAATTAAATTAAAATGCTGATCTTACACTGCCCGCCAGCTCAGCCCGCTGCCGGCCTGGAGTTCCATTCACCTAGGCTGGTAGCGGGCTGAGCAGGGCCTGTGGCTGGGACCCCGGGCTGGCAGCCAGAACCCCGGATTGGCAGTGGGCTGAGCGGCTCAGCCTGCTGCCAGTCTGGGGGTCCATCCACCAGCTCCTGCCAGCCAGGGTCCCGGCTGCCGGCCCCGCTCAATCCTGCTGCTGATCTGGGGTCCCAGCCCTGTCCACATAGAGTAGGTACCTACCTTCTCCCTGGTTCTAGCCATTCTCTTCCTCTCTCTGCACTGAGAACAGGGCTGGGGGTGAAGGAGCAGGCTGGGGGTTGGGGTGCAGGGTCTGGCCAGGAGCTAGAGTGAGGGAGGGGGGCTCAGGGTTGGGGCAGGAGGTTTGGGTGTGGAGAGCTTACTTGGGCAGCTCCCATTTGGTGCGAGGGGTGCAGGTGGGAATGTGGGGGTGTGTGTGTGTGCAGGAGCTCCCGTTTGGTGCTCAGGGTGGGGATGGGGATGTGGGGGGTGCAGGAGTCAGGGCAGGGGGCTGGGGGTGTGGTTGTGGGGGTGCTCCCATCCCCCTGCTCTGACTGCACGGCAGGGGGCTAGAGGGGATATGCCGATTCCACCCCCTTCCGCAAGGTCCCTGGAGCAGAAGCGCGAGTGCGCTGCAGCTCTGCTTTTCTCTCTACCCCTCCGTAGTAAGGGGATTAGCCGCAGGGGGGGAGAGAAAGAGGGGCTGGAACCCAGCACGCTGTGGGAAGAGGCGGGGGGAGGGGGAAGCTTGCCCGCCCTGCAAGGAGAGAGCGGGGGTGGAGAAGAGTGGGCTGAGCCGGGCAGGATTTTTAATGGCACGCTGCTGTCTGCTGTCCCCGGCAGACAGCAGCGTGCCATTAAAAATTGGCTCGTATGCCGTTTTTGGCATGCGTGCCATAGGTTGCCAACGCCTGCTCTAGAGCAACTGGGCTTTCAAAACTAAATATGAATATGGAGAAAAGTATTACATAGTTTTTGCTAATACTGAAAACTATTGGTCCTAAATATAATATAGAATTATTTTATAGTCTCCTTCAGTAATGTACAAAGGAACATCACTTGGATTTGCTAACAATTTTCAGGGATGGCTGAGCTTAGAGTCCTTCATCTGGAACTTTGTTGTGATACATTCCTTGTGACAGTGTCTTCCTCTTAACTCTCAGTGAATTTTTCTTGTTTTTAATCAGATCTCTTTAAAAACAGAAATTGCAGTGTTGGTTTAAAAAAAAGAAGAAAAAGAGGTACAATGTATTGCTTTTGTGCATATCAGCTTCAAATATAAGTACATTCAATATATCATTAATGTGCACCTATAAGGAGTTGTTTGTTTTAATATAATAGTGGGAACAATTTTACATTACAATTAAAGTTGTTCTGTTGTGGTGAAATATTTCTTCAACTTGATAAGAATGTGCTTTGTTATGTGAGAGTGTAAGATTGAGATCTCTAGCCACGCTTTTTAAGTGTTTGGCTTGTGTAGATCGTGATGCGTAATGGAAGTTGGTTGCAAACATAACTACAGAGAAGCTGCTGTTTCTCCATATCTGAACTTGTATCTTTCCTCAGAAGATCTCAAAGTGCTTTATAGTGGTAGGCAAATAGTGCTATACCCGTTTTTTCAGATTGGAAATATGAGACAAGAATACAAGATTACATAAAGCCATTAACAGTAGGGGCAATAGAATCTGCATTTCTTGACTCCCAGTTGTCGCCTGCTCTAACCATTGCCTTTTTGTTATAGTCCATTTGAATGCTATAGTGGATTTAAGAGAGATGTTATAGACTACTGTTTATGTTTATCCTTGTTTGTTAGTATGAAATACCATATTACAATATACTTATTACCTTAAACCATGAACTCAAGCTGAATTTTGCTTTAAGGGATTGATTTTGAAAGCTTGGCTTGATCTCACCTGTGGAAAAGAAGCTTATATTAAAAAAGCTGTGAAATACTTTGATGAGGGAATGCAAGATGGGAATGACCCTTTTGCCCTGCTGGGTAAGGTGAGTTCACTTTATTATTTTAACACTTCCACAGTGTATTTCAAAATATTTTCTGAAACAGGTTATCCATAGCACCTCAGTGAAGTTAGTAACTATTGTAAGGAAACTAGAAAGAACTGCTATGTGATTTGCCCAAGATCACAGAGGGAGTCACTGGGATTAGAAATCAGGAGTTGCTGCTTTGGTCGTTTGTTCAAATAACTAGTCTGTGCTGTTTCATGTTCTGGGGTGATAATGAGTCAGCTGTTTTATGTTACAACAAAAATACCTTGTATACTTTTCTAAGATTGTGTAATATAAGAACAATTCTCATATAGGGCATGTTTAACATAATTAACAGAAGATATGAAAATAAACTTCATGTTACTAGTGATTTTTATAATGGGTGCTAACATTTCTGTAGCTCTTACTGTAGACAGCCCACTTAATATATATTTATCAAACTAAACCCTACCTAGACATGTCATACGACAAAGCTACATCAGTGGCAGTGTTAGGCACCTGCAAACCATGCAGTCACAAGGGGCCACCAAGACAGTGGGGGGCAAACCAGATCTGGCCCGCAAGAGCCTTCCATTTTGCCCACCCATTGTCAGCTGCTCCATCCTGCCTCCCCTCCCACCCCCGGGGGTGTGGGGTGGGCGGGGAGGCATCCATTGTACAGCTTTGCTTGCTCGCTCCAGCTGTGCCCTAGCTGGGCCCTGACAGCTTTGTTCCCGTGTTGACCCAACAGTGAGTCCTTTGGCCAGCCTGGAGAATGCTCTGCAGCTGGGGGGCGGGGGGGGAGACGGAAGGTAGGGAAAAGGGCCCACTTGGTAGCCAGGGAGTGCAAGGGCTGGAGCTGCCAGGAGCCCAGGACCAGCTAAAGCTGGATAGTGGGGCTGCCTGGACAGTGAAGCTCCCAGCTCAGAGCAGGAGGTGGGCACAGTCAGTGGGGGAAAGGGACAGGCGTTGTGGGAGTCACCCGCTGCTTCCCTAGGCCTGTCCCAGTTCCCTTACTGCCTCAGTCCAGGTAAGGGCTCTGGAATTGAGCTTTGCCAGAGGCCCCCACAGGACAAACACTGCAAGTGAACTACATACAGTTCTTTTAAGGGTATCAGAGATTCATTAAAATATCTGCTCTGGCTATAGATGGGCACAAGGGGGCACAATTGGGTTATGATGAGTTATTAATTTAGCTACTGTATGTATTGGATTCTTAATTATGGATTTGTTTATGTGGATTTGTTTAATCTTAACATTCCTGTACTATAATTCTTGTCCTTTTGATTTCCCTTTTATTTTTTCCCTGTTGATTTTGAAGTCTGCAAACTTTAGTTTAACTATATCAAAGACTAAACTTCAGTTAGTGAATTAGTATCCACTCATGCACATTTATGTGTATTTCAGTACTTGAGCGTGTTTAGAATGTAACCTTCTTACTCCCAAATTAAAACTTAATATGCTTTTCTGCCCATTAGATACCATCCTAAAATGTATGCTGTGGTCTAAATATGGTCACTGTGAATGTATACTGAGACCAAGTATTTTAATACAAGCACACTCAAGGTGTCTTAGGCTATTACATTTATTTAGTAAACTAACTTTTGCACTCTGAAGAAATCACTTAAACTAAAAGCAAATTTGATATCCTTCTGTACTTCTAAGGGAATTCTGTACCAAAAAATAAGTTCTGCGCACAATGTTTTAAAGTTCTGCAAATTTTATTTGACAGTAAATAAATGTGGAGGCTCTAGCATAACAGTGGGGCGCACAGGCCACTGGTTGCATGGAGGCAGGAGATCACCCTGCAGCTTGTGCACTCTCCCTCCCACCCGACCCCCTGGTTCTTGGACTCCGTGGTGAGGCCGCACCTGACCCTGACACAGTGCAAGGGTCGGGCCTGCCTCAGAAACACCGAGGGGCCCTGCCCTTCTGTGCCAGACTTACTGAGATAGCGAGCGAGAGGGACAGAGTCTCACATGCATGCCAAGCCCCCCCCAATCCAGATCTGGGGTAAGCAGGCTCAGCCAAGCAGGATCCAAGTGTGGAGGGGTTTAGTGTGTGTGTGGGCGGGGTGGGGGGGAGGATCCAGACGTGGGGTGAGAATGTTCCACACAGAGCCATCTGGGTGCAGGTAGCTCAATGAGGGAGTTTGGATGTGGGTGAGACCTAGATGCACAGGGGGTCATTGGGAGGGTTCCAGGTGTGGGGGAAATGAGGCTCTGTGGGAGGGTTATGGGTGCAGGGGAATGTGTCTGGGTACAGGGGGACAGAAGTCATTTTTCTGCGGGGAAGCAAAGAAATCTGAGGTGGACATGAATTCTGTGTCTACATAGTGGTACACAATTCCCCCAGGAGTACATTCTAGTTGAAGTAGGTATTTGTCCACATTACACAATCATCTTACAACTTGGCAAAGTTCAGCACAATTAAAAAGATAGAACTTGTTTCTGTCTAAAACTTTTTGTACCAATTATAGTTGCAAGTAATGTCAAGGTTACTAGAATTGAACTGTTGGTAGGAAAATCCCATAAATAGGCTGTTTTTCAATTAATCTGCTTCCTATATGACAGCACTTCGTATAGAATCAAAGGAGTACTTGTGGCACCTTAGAGACCACTGAATGCATCCGATGAAGTGAGCTCTAGCTCACGAAAGCTTATGCTCAAATAAATTTGTTAGTCTCTAAGGTGCCACAAATACTCCTTTTCTTTTTGCGAATACAGACTAACACGGCTGCTACTCTGAAACCTTGTATAGAATCAGTTTCACTCTTCCCTTCTCAACACTTTGGCTTCAATGGGGCAGCAATTGGGCACAACAATCTAACAGTGTGTTGTTTAGTTTCTGCCTTGTTGAAAAAGCCCTTATAAAAGCAGAAAAATATCCAACTTTTTTTAATGAAGGAATTTTAAAAAATATTCAGAATATACTATTAGAGTGCTCTATCAAAAACTAGATTTCTTTTTATAATAGTCAGTTTCTAAAACCCTAAAGTTGACAGTGCCCCTTGAAATCTTTGCTAATAAGTGGTCCAAGATTATTGTGCATTGGCAAGTTTGCACAACACCTGACCATACTGCTGTATGTCTAACTTCAACTTTTAATCCTTGACTTTCATGTGCACTAAACTAAACAAAGTAGCCGAAAGAAAAACATCTAAAAATGTTTGTGAAATAATTTAAATTTTTATGCATATAAACATCCTTAACACACACAAACAATCAAATAATACTTGTATGAATGGAGATCTTAAACCTACATGACATGGTAAGATGTCCGTATCTCTTCACAGATAATTGAGGGATATACAAAATCTCCTAAGCATTATGATATGCATGGTCACATGCATAAAAACAATATTCATGTTGCTTTAATACAAGAAATTACGATCTGCATTGTACTTTGGTTGTTCATTTTGTTTAGGTAACTGGTAGTATAATTTTTGTCTTGGCCACTTTTTTTTTCCCCTTGCAATGTACAAATAGTCATCTGGCCATTATGAAGAATCTATTAATTTTGAAGATTGTTTTTGAAGATTCTTTTTGCAAAAGAACTCACGGTAGGGAATATGAAGCAAGATTGCTTAATGGTAATCTACAAATAAATAAAAAGAATGTTAAACCTCAGAAAATTATGCACAATATTGTGCATATATGTTAATGGTAATGTTAAAGGTATGCGTGCAGGGAGTAGGTTGAGATTTACCCTATTCTGACTTCAGTCACCAGTGTAGTTCATGTTGGTTCATAACTTAAAGCAGTAGCTGGAAATCCAGTCCTTCTGCATATGACCGTCTCTAATAGGAAAAAAAAAAAAGAAAATCAAGATAATCTAGATACCACTCTTAAACTATTAAAAAATAGAAAACACTGTGCTTGTGTAGTACTTGTTATCTTCAAAGTGCTTTGCAAACACTAATCCTCACAACAGACATGACACTCACAAGCTGATTGCCTTCAGGTGAACTTCCACACACTCTTCGTCTTTAAGCATTTCTGGGCATTCAGCAGCCATTCCTCTTACTAGCAAGGCGTCTGACTAAGGAGCCAACCTATATTCCTTGGTCATATGGTAAGAGAACATTTATTGCATCAGACGCAGTGAATGCCTCATAGTGGTTTAGAGTAAGAATTCGTATCTTCCACCCCTTAATATGAAAGTTAAAAAAGTTGTATTTGTCCTTTAAATCATTCATGTGTCTGTCTTCATTCTCCTGTGTGTCCTGATCAATAACTTATAACTGCAGCGTTGCTGTAACCTTTATAAAGGTGCTTACAAAAGCTGCAGCTTTTGACTTTCTTCTTTCTGTTTACACCTTCTGTCATGCTTAAAACTGGAGTAAAAATATTAGTAAAGGGAAGAATTTCCCTCTATTGAATGTTTTTTACCAGTGTCTATGTGGAAATACTTATGAATCTTGACACTTTTGCAAGAGTACAGTGTTGATAGGACTTCTTTTTCCTCTCACTAGGCACAATATTTTGAGGTGCGCCAGAATTATTCGGGAGCTTTAGAAATTGTGAACCAGATAATAGCAAACTTCCCAGACTTTCTTCCTGCTTTTATAAAGAAAATGAAACTACAACTAGCCTTGCAGGACTGGGAGCAAGCAGTTGAAACAGCACAAAGGTTCAGTATACATATATGTCCATGGTGTTGCTTTGTTTCAGTTGTTAAGAACATTGGCAAATGCACTAGTTGGGTTTGTTAGAATCATAGGACAGGAAGGGACCTCGAGAGGTCATCTAGTCCAGTCTCTTGCACTCATGGCAGGACTAAGTATTATCTAGACCATCCCTGACAAGTGTTTGTCTAACCTGCTCATAAAAATCTCCAATGATGGAGATTTCACAACCTCCCTAGGCAATTTATTCCATGCTTAACCACCCTGACAGGAAGTTTTTCCTAATGTCCAACCTAAACCTCCCTTGCTGCAATTTAAGCCCATTTCTTCTTGTCCTATCCTCAGAGGTTAAGAAGAACAATTTTTCTCCCTCCTCCTTGTAACAACCTTTTATGTACTTGTACTCTTGTGTTTTAAATATTTTAAAACATTTGTGCCTCAGTCTGCTGCCAGTGATATATTGTGAGATAAGACTAGTAAGTTAACCCAAATCATGTTAGACAGTTATGGTATGTGCATGATGTCCAAACTTTAGAAAACTTCTGCAAATTTAAACCTCCCACATCGTGTTATATGGGAAATACCACAGTGCTATATTAACTGTCTGTTAACCTTTCTGCGGTAGGTATGAAGTCCGTAAACTTTCATTATAGAAATGTGATCTCCATATTTAACTTTAGAGACTAACCAATTTATTTGAGCATGAGCTTTCGTGAGCCACAGCTCACTTCATCAGCTGTGGCTCACGAAAGCTCATGCTCAAATAAATTGGTTAGTCTCTAAGGTGCCACAAGTACTCCTTTTCTTTTTGCGAATACAGACTAACACGGCTGTTCCTCTGAAACCTGTCATATTTAACTTTGTAATCCCAGTTATGATTGTGATCCCCCTCTAAGTCTAAAACAAACAAAAAAGCTAAAACTCCTCTTTTACAAATTCACTGTGTCATTGGTGCTTTCTTGCTTAAAGAAAGTTTAGTGGAGAAAATTGTGAGGTGGTTCTGACAAGATTGTTATGGGGAGAGGTTTCATAATTTTCATTTTTGAAATGTTTTCTAATGGCTTTTTTTGTAACATTACATCTTAAAACTGGCTTGGCTTAGGAACCCCAAATTCATTTCAGTCACTAATCTTTAATGAGTACTAAGGCCAAGATTACAAAACAAATTCCCGTGACCCTTTAGCTAGATTCCTAAATCCATATGTAGGCGTCTTCCTGATTTTTTCACTCAGCTGTTCCTATTGTGGAGTTAGGAGCTTAACTTTAGGCTCCTGTTTTTAAAAGTCTTGGCCAAAAGTATGGGTATTCTGGTTTTGTAGGATAATTTGAAGTTGCTTTCCTCTGGGAGATCCACAGGGACTAGTTTAGTTTTAGTTTAGGTACAGTAGATGCTGCACCTCTCAGGAGCCCCAAAGGAAAAGACCTTTAATTCAGTCCTCTGAGTTTCTAAGTCTGCAAAGCACTGCTGTTGATGAGCCATATTTAAATAGCGTGTAAAGACAGTTTGTTCAGATCTCAGCCAGTAAAATTTTAGAATGTTTTATAAGATCGGCAGATGGGAATCTTTTTTCTGTGGCATTAGTAATATACTGGCTGTGATGATGTATTATCAGAAACTGGATTATATGGCCCTATTCCAGATAAAGGGGAAATTCAGATAGTGGAGTGTCTATTACGTGTAGTTGTATGGCAAAAACTACTTGAAAATCATTAAAATACTTTTTTTTAAAAAAAACACACCCTTATTTAAGATTCTAATAGAATTCTAAACTAAAGTTGTCATCTAAGTATGAAAAGAATCTTATCCTAAAATTCTTCCTAAGTCAGCAAATAAAAGGGACAATATTGAGATAAAAATGTGTATTAATATATTTGTTGTTTATAACATAGTTCCAGTGTTGATGGTCTCACTTCACATTGTATGCACTTTAACTTGTTGTGTTTGTAAGCCTGAACAATTAAAGCTAAGTCCAATTCCTCTTTAGGTTTGATTCTCAAAACTCTAGAGTGTGTTAGTGTCAAATTAGCTGATTCTGTTGGAATTTAAAAAAAGGCTTTTCTGCTAAATTGTTTAAAAGCTGGTCTTAACTCCAATTTCATGAAACTTTCTATTATGTAAATAATGTTTCCTTAAAGGAAATAGCAGATCATAAAGCAAACTGACTCTTGATTTTCCTCAGGCTGTTGCAGAAAGATACTCTTAACCTGGAAGCCATAAGGATGGAGGCTCTACATTTTTTGTGTAGGGAAGGTAATATACCTGAGGTGAGTCTTTGTGTAGCACTTTTTTAAAGCATCAAACTACTGTATTTGAATCATTAAAGCATTCAGTGATTGAGGTTATTTTATAGAAGACAGTAAGTATTTTGAGCAGTTTAAGCATTTTATTAACAGAAAATGAGAAGTGATGAGGTCTTGCTAGTAATTCTGTACCTTTAGTCATGTATTTTTCTCATAGATGGCCTTGTTGTGCACTGTAATACTCTGCCAGTTAGAAGCCTGTGTTAGACCACATGTCCTTCTTCCTGTCCCCTTTTTGTCTGATGGGCTAGTTGTGTGGCACTAAAAGTCTCTGCTACCTTTTTCTTCCTTTCTGGGGCCCCATAGTTTGGATATGTGTGCATTTATAGCACTGTTCAGCTATTTTGAAGATACTTTTAAAAATTCTATTTAATTCTTATAAGAATTAAATATTTTGTATACATTATGCCTTTTCACATTTTTAGAAGAAAATATGCTTTAATACAGTCAGCAGAAAGCCAAATAAATTAAATTGATACAAAAATGCTAGTAAGTCTAACTATATTAAATGCAAAAAGGTTTAATGACATAAATGGAAAGTGTTCATATATTTCATTTCTCATTTTAGAGAGAAATATTTTCATGCTACTAGCACAATTCAAAATAAATAATTGCATACGACTACTAGCACATTTTAAAGAAATTAAATGGTGCAGACTTAATGATGGATTTTAATATGCTATGATGTATAATTTTACAACAGATCACATGATTTAAAAAGGACCTTCTGATTGACTTAGTAAATGAGGTAGGTGGGGTTTTCCCAAACTCCCAGAACTGGGGTTTTTGAGATCAGTCCTGCAGTGCTTGGTGGGGTTAGCTGCTTTTCCTTTTCCCTTTGCCTTTTTTCCTTTTATATATACATAACTTCCTTGGGCAACAATGAAAAGAGGATTTTATTTTTTGACCACATTTCTAAAAGGAGAAAGATATCCTGTGGAAGTAGAATTTTGCAAGAGTGATCTAAATAAAAGCACCATATTAATTCCTAACCATCTTTATTTTATGTGAAAAGATATCTTCTGGTAATGGTCTTTCACCGGTGCACAGTCACAGAGCTTGTGGAAGTGTGTAACTGTAGCATATCAATTCAGCCACTAGAGATTTTCAGGAGCTCAGTGAAATTTTGTTTAAAGTTTTAAAGTGTAAATTTAAGACTTTGGGACAAATTTTCAAAAGCAACTAAGTGAGACTTTAAGAGCCCAAGTCACTTTGAAAATGGGACTTGAGCTTCTAAGTCATTGTGACATTCCTCAAGGTACAGGCTGGACACTTGCGTCCCCTTAGTTCTTCCAGTGCTTACTCATGTCCATTCCATACTAAGTGTGTGTGGGCTGCATGCACAGTTGCTGGAGATTTTTCCCTTAGCTGTATCCATAGGACTAACTTTTGTACCCCCTGGAGTTGTGCATGTATGCGCCGACATAAGGGACGCTCCCAGAGCCAAATCCTCTCAGTTCCTTCTTACCACATGTGATCATTGTTTGGAATGATCCCTCTTGTTCTTGCAAGACTTCTTTCCCAGTGGTTTGGACTTTGTAGTCTATTATATAGTTATAGTTATTAGTGTATCTAATGGTCCTTGTCGTCGAGGGACTTTTGTCCCAGGGGCTGGACATGCCCCGGTCCATAGGCTTTAAGCCGTCTACCTCATGTGGCAAGCCCATGCCAGTGAGTGACTTCTACTCTAGCTGTCTAAAGTGCCTTGGAGAAACTGATGTTAAAGAGAAGTGCCAGAACTGCAGGGGCTTCAGACTTGAAGGAAGGCAAGACGGTGGCCAGGACCTCCCTTCAGACAGTTCTGGATGCAGCTGACTCAACAGCCAGAATAATGGCATCAGCAGTCACTGTGAAGCGCTATTGTGGCTCCAATCATCGGGCCTCTCAAATGAAGTGCAGCAGTCCATCCAGGACCTCCCCTTCCAGGGTACCTTCCTGTTCTCCGAACAGATGGACTTCAGGCTTCACACCTCAAAGGCTCACGGGCCATGCTTCGCTGCCTGAAGCATTTCAGGCTTCAGCAGCCTCACGGGTTTCCAGTGCCTTCCAGGCAGGAGCCCTACAAAAGAAATAAAAAGATAACGCAAGCTAATTCTTACTTTACCAAGGCTAATAGGCTTAAAAGCAAAAAGGTCTGTCTCACCATAGCCTGTGAAACATATTGCAGCTTATGTCTCCTTCCAGCCTGGGACCGTTTCCCCGCTTACTTCAGTTTTTTGAGTGTTGTTGATGTCATGAGCAGAAAGCTGGGAGAAGGAGAGGGGTAACGAGACAGTTTTCCCCCTCCTCTTATAGTCCAGTCCTTTGTGCTGAAAAAACCCTTCATAGAATATCAGGGTTGAAAGGGACCTCAGGTCATCTAGTCCAACCCCCTGCTCAAAGCTGGACCAATCCCCAATTAAATCATCCCAGCCAGGGCTTTGTCAAACCTGACCTTGAAAACCTCTAAGGAAGGAGATTCCACCACCTCCCTAGGTAACGCATTCCAGTGCTTCACCACCCTCCTAGTGAAAAGGTTTTTCCTAACATCCAACCTAAACCTCCCCCACTGCAACTTGAGACCATTACTCCTTGTTCTGTCATCTGGTACCACTGAGAACAGTCTAGATTCATCCTCTTTGGAACCCCCTTTCAGGTAGTTAAAAGTAGCTATCAAATCCCCCCTCATTCTTCTCTTCCACAGACTAAACAATCCCAGTTCCCTCAACCTCTCCTCATAAGTCGTGCTCCAGCCCCCTAATCATTTTTGTTGCCCTCTGCTGGACTCTTTCCAATTTTTCCACATCCTTCTTGTAGTGTGGGGCCCAAAACTGGACATAGTACTCCAGTTGAGGCCTCACCAATGCCGAATAGAGGGGAATGATCATGTCCCTCGATCTGGTGGCAGTGCCCCTACTTATACAGCCCAAAATGCCATTGGCCTTTTTGGCAACAAGGGCACACTGTTGACTCATATCTATCTTCTTGTCCACTGTAACCCGTAGGTCCTTTTCTGCAGAACTGCTGCCTAGCCATTCAGTCCCTAGTCTGTAACAGCGCATGGGATTCTTCTGTCCTAGTGCAGGAGGACTCTGCACTTGTCCTTGTTGAACCTCATCTGATTTCTTTTGGCCCAATCCTCTAATTTGTCTAGGTCCCTCTGTATCCTATCCTTACCCTCCAGCATATCTACCACTCCTCTCAGTTCATTGTCATCTGCAAACTTGCTGAGGGTGCAGTCCATGCCATTCTCCAGATCATTAATGAAGATATTGAACAAAACCGGCCCCAGGACCGACCCTTGGGGCACTCCACTAGACATGAAGCCGTTGATCACTACCCATTGAGCCTAACGATCTAGACAGCTTTCTGTCCACCTTATAGTCCATTCATCCAGCCCATACTACTTTAACTTGCTGGCGAGAATACTGTGGGAAATCGTATCAAAAGCTTTGCTAAAGTCAAGGAATAACACATCCACTACTTTCCCCTCATCCACAGAGCCAGTTATCTCATCATAGAGAGACACAGTGACAGGTAGTTTCATTGTGTTCATAAGCTCCAAACTGTCCTTTTAGAGGAATTGTAAAGTTCTTGTTTACATCACCTCCCTTGTTGGAGGATGGCCACTTAAGCATTTAATAGTTTTCTAAAACCTGTGGTCAGTCCTTAGTTGTCTCTGAGGAGCTAGTCTGTGGGCATTCCCCAGAACCATAATATATTTGAGTAACATTGTATAGCAAAACCTCATAATTTTTAACAGTGTTGTTACATAAGTGTTATCAGGACAACAATATTCAGCAGATTGAGTTATCAAATGATACCTCAAAAAGCATACTTTGTACAAAGTATATCAAACTTTATAAAAGTGGTGAACATGGGTAGAGGGTGTCAGTCACTTAATTGCTTTTGAAAATTATTTTCCTTTATTCTTCTGCTTTATGGTTTGAGAACCATGTATTATTCCAAATCTTTCAGTGTAGATGTTTAACTAAATTTTTTGTTCTTGCGGTAAAATTGCCTTGTAGATAAGAAGCTCAGTGTGATTTCTGGAGGAAATCTTAAAAACTTAAAAAAACGAACAAAAAAAACTTTATATAATATATATTTTTTTTATATTTGAAAAACATGTCAAAGAAACTGTTGCTCCCTCTTCTGTTTCCAAGCTGATTTTATTTACTGGTTCTTGAAATAATCTGCCTTTTAGGTGTAGGAGTAAATTTGTTTTGCTGTCCCTTTGCTGCTACAGCAGTTCCAGAGTATTGTTTTTCCAACTTCTATATAAGTTATTTCCAACACTTGAAAACATATGTTGGGGTTGAATAGTTAAGATACTTGGAATAAGGCTCATGGGATGTCATGCTACTGGAGTTCGTGATGTTCCTTGAGGTGTTGTGTTCCTTCAATATTGATCATAGTGTTCCATTCTCCTAGGCTACAGCCAAGCTGGGAGACCTAATTAATGCACTGGACAAATTGGAACCACATAATCCTCAACTATTTTGTAAAATGGCATTAGCTTTCAGCAGAACAGTGAGTGTACATTTTTTTTCTTAAACAAAATGCAAATAATAGCTATACATCCCGCTTTTGATTTTTGGTAGTAGGTGTTGTGTGTCAATTAAAATCTTTACTTGGAGAGAGAGAAAGTGGATTGATTGTATAACTTGGCCTCTATATTTGAAAATTCAATGTATGGGCTGAGAAAAGAGACACCTATTAGCCAGTCAGTTTTTCTGCTGCTCACATGAGTTCTAAATAGCAGTGAAGCTGAATAGTCTTGTTAATTTCTTGCTCTTGCTTCTGCTTTTGTTTGGTAAACCCATGAGCCATGGCAATTCCCTTGGAGTTGTCTGCAGGCTTAGGAGGACAGCATTGAAGTGAATTACATTTGAAAGGGTATGTTTATAACAGTAAGGGCTAAGTACCTAATTTTTAAAATGAAAACATAAATTCTCCATGATAGCTTGGGTCACAGCAAACACCAGGAGGAGCTTCCCACTTGCTACTGGAGAATAAATTTTATTTATAAAGTTCTTGATAAGGGGATGACAGTTAATGATGCAGCCAGAAAAAAATACCTAGTCTACCAAATTACCTAGTCTCGGTAGTCTACCAAAGTGAGAAACAAATGCCTCTATGTGTAGTATAAGCTTGTTTTCATAAGATTACTCAAATAATTGTACATTTCACAGGTTATTTGTAAATTACTTGCTGTTGACCAAAGCCTTTGTGGCATCTATTCCATTTAATTGTAATAAGGAAACAAATTTTACTGACAGAAGTTATAACTCTTTAAACTCATTTCTCTGTAATAAATACATCACAGCACCTGTTGACAGCATTGCTTACATAGAAGCACAAATATCAGAAAATCAGTGCAGGGTAAATTAGTCTTTTATTAGACATCTGAGGCCCTGAGATGCTACGGGGTGGGTGACGGTATAAACTTGAGAACAGATTGATCTTTGAGAGTTCTCTCGCCCATCTGTAGCCAAAAGAAAGAACAATATGACAGTGGTATTTTACTTTCAGTCATTGATTGGTACAATATCAGCATATTATCCAATAGTTTTGAAAACTGGGTGCTCAATTTTGATCTCCGAAAACTAACTCCCATTCACAGGAATACATGAGAAATAAGTGATTACAGAAGATATGGCATTTTGCTCCTCCATCCTTGAGATGAGTGAGGACTCAGTGCTGCTATTTAAAATCTAATGTGCAACTTCATTTAAAGATTCATTGTAACTTTGAGAGTTTTTTTTCTCAAAATGTGGTGAAACTGATTAAGATAGAGAGCTTTCAGATGTAAAACTCTTCTTAACTTTAGTGTGGCCGGAACCAACTCATTCTTCAACAGACACAGATCTTAGTTGAAAGAGCATTTGACCTGGCATCCCATGATTCTGAAATTGCTACAGAACTTGGCTACCAGATGATTTTACAAGGGAAGGTGAAAGAGGCTTTAAAATGGTACAAGACTGCTATGGTGCTTGATGAGACAAGTGTTTCTGCGCTAACTGGTATGGCATGAGACTTTCTATTACTTACCATTTATTTAAAGGACACAGACAACTTAAAAGTGCTTCTCTCTGATTTGTTTTATCTACTGTTACAGATAATGCATGAGATTACTTATAAACTGAAAATAAAGTCTTAATCTTTCTGTTATTTTCTCAGAGCATTTGACAGCCCTTTATTGCCGATTTCACTATTTTCTTCATAGGGTCATTCCTCCTGTTTGGGTGGGTCTTGCTCTCCTGCTGAGGAGTGAGAGGTTTTTTTAAATAAAACGTAATTTGAAAAAACACAAAGTGGCCGAAGGAATCAGGGAGAAGTATATCTTGGCAGTGCTTTCAATATGTTTTTTAACTGGCTAGATTTCAAGTTGATAGTATTTCTTTAACTGGTTTTTCTATTGCTCTGTAAGCTTTTGAAAAGATAAAATCATCATTGTAACATTAATGGGTAAACATAAGATACATGTGGAGGAGAATATCTCTAAGCCTTTTGCAAAAAGCTTGTTTTTTTTCCTAATTGTACAGCTGTTTTAATGTCTTTGAGGAGAATTACAACTGGAGCAATAAATGACTTGTGTGTTTAAAAAAAATACTAAAATTCTAAATTCCTTTGCTTTCATTGGTTGTTGCAAGGATAACTCTGACTAGAGAAATTATTTCACAAATTAAAAACATTTGGTGTACAACATTTCCATGAGGAATAGGATCCTCTTAAAGACTGCAACTCTAACAAGAAATGTAGACTATCAAGAAACTCCCCTTTCACATACCCTATCAACAATTTTTTGTGCCATCAAAAAGCAACTACAAGATACTGGCATTGCTTCCATGCCAAGAGGGACTGTTAAGTGGTATAACTTGAGAATTGAAAATGTTTGTTCGGGTTCCCAGAAGAAAAAAGCAGCTTGCAGAGGCTAATTAGGCTGAGGGGGAAGAGGCTGTAACTTGTAATTGATGATGACTGAAGCCAATAACACTTGATGGTCTTTGTTTTTAAAATGTTCTGTGACTTATTTGCTGGCTTTGGTACAGTGAAGCTTTATAATAATTTCACACAGTGTTCTTGGCTCTCTGAATCAACAGAAAAATATATATTTAGCATTGGAAATGAAGAAATCTGTATTAGATATTTTTAATTATTTTTGCTAGTGTTAGTGATATACTTAGTCCTTTGTATTTATTTTAAGGAGTCAGATTCTGATATGCCCCTCTCACTGAAGTATATGGCATGATTCATGTTTGTACGGCACATAGTCCAAACAAACCTTGACTGTGGTTGGGGCCTTTAGCTGCTACTGCAATACAAAAAAATTAATTATGAAAGAGTTTTAGTTAGAATTTGTACTACACTTCCTTTTGGCCTCAGCCCCAAAAGCTGTCAGGCTTTTGTGGCATGCCTGATATTGAGTGTAATCCTATTTTTCTTCTTCGAGTGCTTGCTGACTGACCAGTTCCATTCTAGGTGTGTGTGCGCCCATGTGCACGGTCATTGGAGATTTTTGCCTTAGCGGTATCCGTAGGACCAGCTGTGGCTCTCCTTTGAGTGCCGGCTCATGCATCCGTATATCAGGCGCCACTGGCCCTACGCCCTCTCAGTTCCTTCTAACTGCCCGGGGTGGTTAGTTGGAGCACCTTTCCTTGCATAGCAAGGGCTAGCACTTTCCTCTCTTCTGACTTCGAGCCTTAGGGCCTTGTAAATAGTTTGTTTATAGTAGTTAGTGCTAAGTAGTTAAGTGTAGTTAGAAGTTAGAGTCCCAGCAGGTACTTCGCCCCAGGCGGGGCATGCCCCGGTCTCCAGGGTTTAAACCCTGCGTGGACTGTAACAGGCCTTTGCTAAGTGACCCCCATAGCAACTGCCTCAAGTGCTTGGGGGAATCACATGTGAAGGTCAAGTGTCTTATTTGTAAACATTTTTGATCCAGGAGTCGGTTATTCATTTGTGGGCTCTCCTCATGGAGGCTGCCCTTCATCTGCCTTCTGAGCTGTCCTGCCAAGACTCCTCTAATATCTTGGTCCTGGTGCACAACACACCTCCGGCACCGGCCTCTGCCCAGCACCGCTCCCCATTGCCGGTGCCCCCAAAAGAAAACAAAGAAACATGTCTCTCCAGCACTGGGCAAGAAGGGCAATGGGACACTGGGCAAAGGACCCAGTTCAGGACACCTGGCCACTCCGGAGCCACATGTACATGCCTGCCCGGTTGGGGATCTTAAAGGATCCACCACCAACTCCCAGGAGCAATAGGGGACCCAAATTCCTGATGGTATTGATGCCTTCTCAAGTTCTCCCGGCACTGAGAGAGCAGAAGCCTCCGCACGCACTGTCAGCACCGCAGGAAATGGCAAAGACTCCCTACAAGGGCAACCCAGCCACTAAAACCACTTGGGAAGTGGAGTGCTACTGATCCCCTGAGACAAGACAGCACCCTCCACTTCCGCCCTCCACTTCCTCTGGGGCTTGCCCTCAGTCACTGGCACCACAATCATGGTTCCTGCCGTCTTGACACAGATTCCCTAGGCAGAGGTGCTGATTTCCATACTACCAGCACTGTTCACCCTCCCACTAGTCGTCCTCTTGGCGCAGATCTTGGTCGCCTACCCAGTGGGAGCACTCCCTGTCACTGCTCTGGTCACCCTGGCAGCAATCCTCTCACCCCAGGCACCGGTCTCCAGCGGTGACAGTCAGCAGGCAGACGCAGGCGTCAAGGGCCCCACTGTGGTCACCGAAAGGGGATTCCTCTGGCATAGAAGGACAGTTCAGCCCCTCACCCACACTCCAACGATGTGATTGGGCACCCGAGGCCGTGTTTACATCGATGTTGCCTTGGCAGCACAGTGAGTGGCGAGCGCAGTGGCCTTATTGGAGCGCATGGGGCATGCCCCCTTTGCACCACTTGTCTGCCACTGCCTTGGAGCAACAGTTGGTGGCACTGGGCTCGGTGCATGAGTCATGCTCGGAGGTTGGGGTAGAGGAGACTGCACCCACCCCTAAAACCTCCTTCCCCCCACAGGGGACGATGCCCAGGGGCCTCCCCCAGTGTTACAGTCATCTTCATCCCCGGACGAGGCGGTCGGGGGACCCTTGTGGGCCAGCCCACCAGACAGTTATAAAGAACATCAGGCCCTGCTTCAACTGGTGGCTGAGAACTTGGACCTAGAAGTAGAGGAGATGGCTGAGCAGGCGGACACCTTTTCCAATGTCCTCTCAGCCTCTACCCCTGCCTGTGTTGCACTACTAATGCATGACAGGGTCCTCAAAATTGCCAGTGTCCTCTGGCAAATCCTGTTATCTATCCCTCCCACCTACAAAAGGCTGAAAAGAAGTACTTTGTCCCGGCCAAAGGGTTCGAGTACCTTTATACCCATCCACTTCTGGGCTCACTGGTTGTCTCTGCGACCAACGAAAAAGACAATCTGGGGCACACCAGCTCAGCTCCCAAAAATAGAGGCCAAAAGACTGGACCTTTCTGGGAGAAAAATTTATTCGACTGCCGGCCTGCAATTCTGGGTGGTGAATCATCAGGCCCTCTTGGGCGGATACAATTTTAACTTTTAAGTTAAAGGAGTCCCTCCTGCAGAGTTTGGCCCAAGAATTTGTCACCCTGGTAGAGGAGGGCACTGCGGCAGCTAGGTGGTGCCTCCAAATGGCGTGGGACATGGCAGACTCAGCGGCTAGGGTGGTCTCATCGGTGGTGGTTGTGAGGTGCAGCTCCTAGCTTCAGACTGCCGGCCTTTCCCAAGAGGTGCGGACCTTGATCCAGGACCTCCCATTTGATGGAAACAGTGTCTTTTCCGAACAGATGGATGCGAGGCTGGATGGGTTAAAGGACATCGAGCCTCCCTTCGCTCTCTGGGCATGCATATGCTGCAGTCTGCACGGAAGCAGTGCCGGCCCCGCCCATTGCCAAGGCCTTGGTAGCCACATATCAGTGTTGGGCTTCCAAGGAGAAGGGATAGAAACACAAGTTTTAGTCCATGCCGCCCTTTCTCCTCCCCCTCACCCATGCATCTTGGGGGTCAGAAACACTCATGTTGAAGGTGTGCTCAAGAATGAAGCCCCAGTTCAATTTCCTGGATCTACCTTGTTCTTTTCTCAACTGTCTTCATCCCTACCGTTCAGCCTGGTTGCTGATCAACTCGGACCACTGAGTGTTGGACATTGTATCTCTGGGTCATACCCTGAAATTTTCAGCTGCCCATCCCTCTTCAGGGACCCTTCTCATGAGCAACTCCTCATTCAAGAGGTCGAGAACCTCCAACACCTGGGTGCGGTGGAGGAGGTCCCTCAGGATATGAAAGGCAAGGGGTTCTATTCCTGCTACTTCCTAATTCTGAAGGCAAAAGGGGGCCTCAGACCCATCCTGGACCTGCGTCACCTCAGCAAGTCTCTCAAAAAGTTGAAGTTTCCCATGGTCTCCCTGACCTCCATCATCCCCTCTGTAGATCTGGGAGATTGGTATGCCACCTTCAACTTAAAGGATGCTTATTTGCGTATTCCCAGGTCAGATGTTTCCTCATTTCATAGTGGGCGGGCACCATTTTTAATTCACTGTGCTGCCCTGTGGCCTCTCATCAGTCCTAGTGGTGGTCCTAAAATATATGGCGCCAGTGGCTGCTTATCTGAGAACGTCCAGGGATCCAGGTCTTTCCATATCTTGACAACTGGCTCATCAAGGGCAGGTCTCGGAAGCAGGTTCAGAGGAGCCTTGATCTGGTGAATTCCACCTGTCGTGACCTGGGCCTGTTAATAAATGAGAGAAAATTCACTGTAAGGTCAGTCCAGTGAATAGAGTTGATTAGGGAGTTCTCGACTTCACATGAGCCAGAGCCTTCCTTCCAGAAGTGCGTTATCAGGCCATGTCAGACCTGATCTCCCATGTCAAGAACTACCCGTTCACCATGGCTCACACCTGCCCGCAGCTGTTGGGTCACATGGCCGTGTGTACATATGTGGTCAGCCATGCTTGGCTCCATCTCCAGCCCCTGCAAGCATAGCTGGTGTCG